TGTTGTCACCTTTAATTTGATGTTGTCCCCTTCGAAATAGTATAGTTCTGTAAGATATGACTATGTTAGCCAAAACCATTCTAGATACACTTGCGAGAGCAAGTTTCTTTTAATCGGGAACTAGACTTTTTTCCCGTAAAGAACTTTTCTTACACAGGTAAAGAAATGTGAAGTTGCTTTATCAGAGAACCTTAGCAACTTGCTAGTTTTCCCACAAGGCCTAGAAGTAACGCGGATGCCTTTGTTCCCTAAGGTTTTGGCTCGAGTCCCGGCCGGACCCTGTTTTTTTCTTCAGTATGTATGAAGTTGAAATTTTTCCGAGAAAATTGAATTGTCGGATTTTTTTCTGCTACGCTTGTCTGCTCTTGGTTTGTTGGCTTATTTGTCCCATCGGGGATTTTTTTTGTGGTTTTAGCTTTTGTCATTGTAGCTTCAAGTGTTTTTGGTTTCCTGTAATTTATTACCCTTGCGTTAAGCAAGGGTTCTGCAATGGGCTACTAGACTTTTCCCGTAAACTTTGTTCACAGGATTATCTCCAATTTCAAAACCTTTTTTCAGCGCGTTGCACGTTAACCATCTCGAGTTTTTGTGCCTAGTGTTAATGCGTTCTTGGATCTACTGGTAAAAAGTTTGTAGATGTAAAATTGTTTTTGTAGGCTTAAATAATTTCGGCCCAATTTGTGTCGGCTTATTTGCTGGGTATTTTTTTTTGAAATTTCTATTCAATTAATTATTGAATTCAATATGAGCAAGGAAACACGATGAAAGGATTTTCAGACACGTTTTTGAACACGCTTTTTTCTACACGCGGAAATTTCAGTTTGAAAAGAAAAAATGAAGATTTTTTGTTTGTTTTTTTTTCATTTTTTTTCCAGTTTTCTTCCTTTTAATCTAATTGTTTTTCCAATGAACCTGTTTGTGTTTTTGAGGGCTTAGGCCAATAAATTGAATTTTTAGTGATAAATTGATGTTTAATGCACTAATGTTTGATGTTGTTTTGTTGTCCCCTTCAATTTGATGTTGTCCCTTTCGAAATAGTATAGTTCTGTAAGAGATGACTATGTTAGCGAAAACCATTCTAGATACACTTGCGAGAGCAAGTTTCTTTTAATCGGGAACCAGACTTTTTTTTCCCGTAAAGAACTTTTCTTACACATGTAAGGAAAAGTGAAGTTGCTTCATTAGTGAACCTTAGCAACTTGCGAGTTTTTCCCACATGGCCTAGAAGTCACGCGGATGCCTTTGCTCCCTAAGGTTTGGGCTCGAGTCCCGGCCGGACCCTGTTTTTTTCTTCAGTATTTATGAAGTTGAAATTTTTCCGAGAAAATTGAATTGTCGGGTTTTTTTTCTGCTACGCTTGTCTGCTCTTGTTTTGTTGGCTTATTTGCCCCATCGTGGAGTTTTCTTGAGGTTTTAGCTTTTGCAATAAAGCTGCAAGTGTTTTTGGTTTCCTCCTGTAATTTATTACCCTTGCGATAAGCAAGGGTTCTGCAATGGGCTACTAGACTTTATCCCATAAACTTTGTTCACAGGATTATCTCCAATTTCAAAATCTTTTTTCAGCGCGTTGCACGTTAACCAACTCGAGTTTTTGTGCCTAGTGTTAATGCGTTCTTGGATCTACTGGTAAAAAATTTGTAGATGTAAAATTGTTTTTGTAGGCTTAAATGATTTCGGCCCAATTTGTGTCGGCTTATTTGCCGGGTATTTTTTTTGGAAATTTCTATTCAATTAATTATTGAATTCAATATGACCAAGGAAACACGATGAAAGGATTTTCAGGCACGTTTTTTAACACGCTTTTTTCTACACGCGGAAATTTCAGCTTGAAAAGAAGAAGAAGACTTTTCGTTTGACTTTGTTTTCATTTTTTTTTGTTTTCTTTCAAATGCATGGTTTCTGATTGTAACTTACATTTCAGTCAAAAATCCAGCGCATGTGCCTTAGAGGTGGCACACCCGCTTGAGACGTCGAAAGCCTGTGTTTCGAATCTGATCCGGATCTGTTTTTCGCAAACTTGATTTTTTTTTTGCTTTTTAGGGCTATCGTCCGTCTGCCTATTTTTTCGGCTTCCTTCCCGTAGCACAATTTTTTTGAGGCTTAAGCTTTCATCCAAGTTGCTTTAACAGCCATGCTTGAGACGACAGAGCCCAGGAGTTCGATTCCAGTCGGGACCTGTTTCTTTGCAAATTGAAAACTTTCGGCTATTTTAGACTCTTGTGTCTGCTTATTTTTAATGACTTAGTTCACACTGAAAGGAGTGTTTTGAAAGTTTGACTGCTTTCCAGCATTCGGAAAAATCTTTGAATGCAGTTAATTTTTTTTTGGCTTTTTGCAATGTTTTTTTTTGACAAAAACGACGTGGAATTTTTTTTCATTTGATTTCAATCGTAGTCATTCATTTTTGATCGCAAATGGTGGGAAGTTCAGCTTCGCCTCTGTGTAAAACTAATACCTCTTTGTTGTTTCTTGGTTTTCCTTTTCTTTTTTTTGTTCCGAAGCCTTTTTCGGCTTGAATAGTTTCGGCTGATTTGTAATCGGCTTTGTTACCTTCTTTTGTGTCGCTTCGACGGCAGAAATTGATTGATTCAACAAATTTTCACGGCACATTTTTTTGGCTCAATGTGCATCTATCCACTTTTCGGCTTAGGTGCCGTTTGGTAAATACTGATTTTTTTTTCAGTTTTTATTGTTTGTTTTCGTTTTAGTTATTTCCGTCTTATTTATCTATTCGCTAGGTTGCAATGTTGCGCGTGCGTTGTATCGCAAGTGATGCGAAGCTCCGCTTCGCCTTTGTGTAATAGTTTGGGAACTATTGATTTCACACAATCGATTCGCCCCATGAAAGCAATAAGTTTTCCATCAGGTTTTTATAGTATTTTTAATTTTCTTTTTTTTTGGCAAATTTGACTAGTTTTTTTCCTAGCCCTTCTTGTTTTTGTTGTGTTATTTTTTGATTTTGTGTAGAGTCTAGTTAATGAAGCACCTTTTCTAGGATTTGGAGATTCAATTGGATTAGATTCGATTCAGCAAGGTTTTTTAATCACTACGAGGTCAAATTTTGTAATTTGTGAATTGTTAGCTGATACGGCAACAAGACCAAACTGTTTTTAATCTTTCTTTGATCTTGTGTTTCTTTCATCCGGGCGACAAAGTTTTAACATGTTTAAAGACTTGTCTCTGGGTTCCAGTGACACACACACACCCACACACACACCAAATTGTGCTATCGATAACAGCCTAATCGTTTTTCTGCGCAAGAATTTTTTCAGATTTTCATACAAATTTGGATGAGAACTGTTTTTGTTCAATCATTTTTCGAGTGCATGACAATTTCTCTTTTTCGCTAATGATGCGAAGCTCCACCCCGCCTCTTTACTTTAAAAAACTGAAAAGAAATGATTGATTTTTCAAGTGTCAATGAACGAAATGAAGATACCTATTTAGGTCGTTGGTTTTTTTTCAGGAAAAAATTGATCATGCTGAAAGGTGACTTTCGCGGTTTTGACTTTCGTTTCTTTTTTCAAATTCAGTTCATTTCAAGTTAATTTGCTAAAAGACAATTCGTTTCCAATGACGAAAGTGCAATTAATGCAAAAAAGCGTGATTGACTTAAAAGTTCGAATTTGAATTTAATTTTATTTCCGAGCAGATTAAAAAATTACTTAATGACCCAGTTCTTTCATTGTTTTTGTTTGCTCAAAAATGCCTATTATAGGAGATTTTTGGAATTCAAAGAGTTAAATGTGATGTAATTAACTAAATTCGACGTTGAATTTTCAAAAAAAATGACTATCCAATATTTTTTCTACTTCCAATTTAATTTCACTTCTAATGAAGAAAGTGCTATTTGCGCAAAAAAGCCTAATTGTCTGCAAGTTTCGAAAGTGGACTATAGGTTTTAGATTCTAAATTTAAAAAATCCTAATGACCCAGAAATGCCAATCACAGAAGGTTCTTGAAATTCAAAGAGCTTTAATGTAATGTAATTTTTTCAAAATTCTCAAGTTGATTTTTTCTAAAAGTTGTCAATCTTATTCTTTGGGGGTTTCGTTGTTCATTGGAACTTCAAAGGTCTTTGGTTATTTTTCCAATTTGCACGGGGTATTTTTCCAATTTGCATGGGGGGATTTTGTTTTCGAAATTGGCCTTAGAAACGGATTTTGCAAAAGTTAGACCAATTTCGATTTCACCATGCTATCGATAGTATTGAACATCAAGTTTTGGTAAACAGAGGAGGATTCAGAATTTTTGGCTGGTATGTAGATTCTCGAAATACTTCAGTATATTTCATGGGCAGTTTTTGTTTGTTCCGTTATCTGTGGGCTGGAAAAATGGTGGACGAAAAAAATCCCAGTTAAAAGATCTATTTAATTTTGTGCTCACCAAAAGAGAACTATGATAGCTGGAAATAATATAAATGATCCTAAAAGCCTGAAAATGGTTATCGCATAGTCGACGTTATGAGGTCGTAGGTGGGTGCGCGCGCTGCCGCTTCACGGCGATGAGCGCCTTCAAATTTTGTTAAGAGTCCTTAGATCTGTTGGCAAGCTAACACCACGTTGAGGCGACTGGGGTGGTCACTGTTGTTATGCATTTATTTTTCGTTATTCTGATATAATTTCGTCCTCAAGATATAAAGCCATTAGTGTGAAAAAAGAAAAAAAATTGACCCAGTTTTCCTCGACACTGTGACATTTTGTTTGATTTTTTAAATCCGAATCTTGGCTGAAAAGGGGTTGAATATTTTACCCGGAGTCAAAACTTTCTCCGAGGTAACTTATTCGGCCAAAACGTCCTACAAACTTTCTCTGAGGTAATCAAAAATGTCTAAAAACAGACACTAGCTGATCTAAAATATAGTTGTCACTTCGCAAAATGGTCGGAATAAAAACTAGCAAAAGTTAGTAAATGATTTTTTGGTAAAACTTATTAATATTGGCAGTATTTTGGAAACTGAGCTTCAATCGGTTTGTGCTAAAACTTGATTTTATGGATTTCATAGTTCTTACAATATACGCATGTTTAAGTTATTTCAGAGTAACAATGCTTTATTAAGCTTCGATCGGAAATCAAAGAAGTCGTCATGACGGAGAAGTCTGAAATTGATGTCGTGATTGATGAAATATTCGAACAGCTGAGCTCTACTGAAGCGACCTCTCAAGATGGCTTACAGAAACTACAAGACCTCATCGAAAAAAGTAAACACTCCCTGCGTCCTTCTAGTCCTAAAGATAGCAACTGGCTGGAATCATTAGAGACTAAAATCACCTCGTTTATGACGACAAAGCCATACAACCCAAATAAGCAAAGAAGTGCGTTGATAGCACTGGACTTGCTGATCAAAAACCAAGTGAGATTGACCCACTATACGCGTCATTTGGGGACAATCACGCTGATACGGCCGAGTAAAGATATCGAACTGCAAGAACATGCAGCTTCAACATTGGGAAAGTTACATCAAGCTTCTGGAAATAAACACACTCAAAGCGCCGAGTATCAAATCAGAATATTCTTCGAATTTTTGAACCATTGTGAAGATGATACCCAAATGTTACAAGCAGTGTTGATGTTGAGAGAGATTGCAACATCAATGCCGTCTCTATTCATTGGAAAAGCGGAGGGCGACCATTTCTTTTCCAGAATCATTCCGGCGTTTAAGAGTAACAGCGAAACTAGAAATCGCGGATCTGCGTTGCTGAACGTTGTGATTCGTCTTTACGCGATGCGTGAAGAGAAAGATCGAAAGAAGGTAACGCGTCTAGAGCAAAGAAACACTTGGGCGTATCAAGTGTATAAAAATTTTAGATCGCTCTCAGAAAACTTATCGAATGAAACTGATTGTCATGGAGCTATTCTAATGCTGCATGAACTGGTTTCAGTCGCTAATAAACTGGACATAAGTCCTCTAGAGTTGAAACTTCAAGACTATCACGCAGGGAGTTTTGCGCCCCTGAGAAAACAATCGTTCAATGCTTTGCCCGTTGAAAAGTTCGAAGCACTCCAAGAATCGAATCAATCGAGGAAAGAACTGCCGAAAAATGTACATAGTAAGATTTCGAGGAATATGGTGACGAGTCACTTCCATGATATATGCAACAGTGTTCTGTCTATCATGTTGGTTCAACCCACTAATAAGGACCCTAATGTGCGAGCTTCTTTGATAAGTCTGATACCCCGGCTAGCCGCAGTTGATCCCAGTGAATTTGAGAACCATAAGGTCGAAGGCCCAATTGCTGGCTTCCCAGGTCTGAAAAAGATATTCCACGAATCATTGACTTATCTCATAGACAGCTACAATCTCAAAACTCAAGTTCCAGACAAGCGACCAAATGTTTCCGGTGGTGATACAAATACTGATTGCGAAATTAAATCGTTGGCTTTGTTAGTTCAGATCATGAGCAATCGAATCATGGATAGCCCAACTCACAAAGAGCGAATCATGAAGCACATTTCGCAGATATTCATCATGGAACCTATGTCTCTCAAACGCTCAAGGGGTGGAAGTTTAGTACCACAACCTCTCCACGCGCCCCCTTCCGCTTATGCACTAATAGCATGTTTTGTACAGGCTCTAAATTACTCAATGACCGAGTCAGAAATGCATAAATTAGTTGACCTTGCTATGAAACACGGCTTGAATCGTTACTTGGCACTATGTTTACATGACATCTGCTCAAACGCTCCTTTGGATAATTTTGCGTTCAAGTTACAAATCAAAAACAAACTCTTCACTGAGATTTCTAGTAAGATTGTTCATTTTGAAGCTGTAAAAGTGACCGAAGAAAGTAATGCAACTAATCAGAACACGATGCTAAAAAAGAAAATGTCTACAGTAAGTAATGCACCGGGAAGGGAATCGTTAGATGCAAACGAAGATATAACCACAGCTGTTATAATGGCCCTGGAAATACTGGCTGCTTTTGATTTCACAGGAGTTGCTCTATCTGGAACCGTCGGGTTCTGTGCTGACAAGTTGCTAAACTATGACAAAGGAGTCCGCTTAGCCGCTGCAAAGGCCTGTTGCAACCTTTTGATTTCGGACGATGCGAGTTTTTTGCTCGATTCCAATCGTGCTAAAACTGCGCTCTACGAAGCGGATAGAACACTCAGAACAACACTGCCAAAGATAATAAACATTGGTGTGACGGATCCGTCTGCACAAGTGCGATTGGCGATCGTTTCTTCCTTGGATGCGAGATTCGACCCATTTCTGGCGCAAGTTGACAATCTGAATTCCCTGTTCATTGCGCTGTATGACGAGTGTTTCAAAGTTCGCGAGTATATTGTGTGCATTTTGGGACGCCTGAGTGAAGCAAATGCTGCTTACGTAATGCCGGCTCTGCGAAAGTTCTTGCTGCAGAGCCTGAAGGAGTTACAGTATACGGAAGTTCCGAAAGCAAGAGAAAGGTGCTCGGTTCTCTTGGGGAATCTGCTGTACAATACTCCGCGACTGTTGACCGCTTACATGGAATCTGTCATGAATTGTCTCATTCCTAAGTTAATTGCTGCCAATGAGACCTCCAACGTTAATGCCACAGACATTGCAGTTTCCATTTCCTTCATGCGGACGATTGGAATTTTAGCAGAAGTAAGTGGGCGTGATATTGCTCCATATTTTCCAAAACTAATGCCGACCATTTTGGATTTTATCAAGGATTCTCAAAACACGAAGAGAAAAATTGCCGGCCTGTGGACCCTGGGTAATCTCATTTTCAGTGGGGGAAATGTGGTTCAGCCGTGCATTGATTATCCTGAGCTTCTAGAATTGCTACTCGAGATGATAAAAAGTGAAGTGTCTGTTGCTGTTCGCAACCAAACTATCAAAGTGTTAGGCTCACTTGGACCGTTGGATCCTTATGTTTACAAAACTATTTTGCAGCCAGCCATGTTTCAAAGCCTTCGACTGGCTGAAAAAGAAACAGAAAATGCAGACCCAAACTTGTCTGATTTGACGTCCATGATAGAAACAGCCGTGATGGATGATGTTTATCCAGCGGTTGCTACAGACGCACTCCTCAAGATCCTCGGCGATGCGACTCAGAGTCAGTACTGGCCTCGAGTGATTGAAGGCTTCAAGTTCATGGTGGTTTCAATGGGAATCAAAAGTGTGTCATTCATTGGAAGAGTAATCCCAGCTTACTTGAACGTGCTGCAGAACATCCCTATTAATACGGATCGGAATAAAATGTCAGAAATTGTGCTGATCAGCTTGACAAAAATTGTTAACACAGTCAAGGATCACATACGGCCCTACTTGAAAGAAATCGTCGAATGTCTGAGCCAAGTGTGGTCTACTGCCCTTGAGAAAAATTTGATCGAACTTTTGGGATGCTTGGCAAAATATGTTGGCAGTGATTTGAAACAGCATTTTCATTTGGTCTTGCCAAAGGTAATCGAGATAATCAAACGAGATGTGAAGTCCCCAAACCCAGTCGTTAAAAGTTTGGTCGAAAGCTTCCGGACTTACGGTGTGATGCTTGAAGGCTATATTCACATACTATTACCTGCCTTGATGGGTTGCCTGGAGGCAACCAACCAAAGCATTCTGAAAATAGAAATCTGTTCTACGTTGATTTACTTCTGCGAAAAAATGGACATGACTGATTACTCCAGTCTAATGATTCACTCATTGCTGCGAGTTGTAGAACATGATCATTATCTAAATCAAAGGCTCTCGTATAGTAGTCAAAGTTCTTCAGGAGCTGGAACATCGATCGGGCCACAAGGAAACGTCACACTGCCAGTGTGTGACAGACCAGTCACGAACCGAGTATTCGACGTTCTGGCTGCCATTTGCTTTATCCTCAAGACCCGGTTCCACATTTTTAGACCGGTGGTAGAACAAGTAGCTGATAAATACAGAGTAAATCATTTGAACTACCTTTTTGTTCTGGAGAATATCGATCACATGTTTTACTCGCAGACTGGGAAGTATCGATCGGATATAGGGGCGAGAATTTTTGACAGAAATAAAAATAGAGCCGCAGCTCCTGGACAATTGGGACCCGCGATGGAAATTGGAGCGGCTCAAAGGCATTCAATAGAGTCGGATCTTCCCATGTTGAAGCGTTCCTGGTCAACAGAAGGAAAAGTGTCGAAAGATGATTGGACTAGTTGGTTCAAAAATCTCTCATTCATGCTTCTTAATAAGTCACCTTCACCCATTTTGAGAGGATGTTCGCTATTGGATCATCCTCAGCTAAGAAAGGACTTGTTCAATGTCGCATTTTTGTCATGTTGGGTGGAGTTAGATCAACTGCATCAAGATGAATTGATACACGAGTTGAAAACTGCTTTGGAGTTTGAGGATGCGCCAGAGTTGACTCTTGCCATATTAAACTTGGCAGAGTTTATGGAACATTCGGAGAAGGGACCTTTGCCTTTAGACCATTTGCTTCTGGGTAAAGTAGCGGAGAAAAATGGTGCTTATGCGAAAGCGCTGTACTACCGAGAAAGCGCTTTAAGAAGTCACGAACCAGGCGCTAAAGAGATACCCGAAATTCTGGAAAGCTTGCTGCACGTGAACACAAAGTTGCATAATTATGACGCCGCCACTGGAGTTCTGAAACTGGCCACCACAGGTGTAGATGAGTCGTGGTATGAGAGTCTGGGACAGTGGGAAAATGCATTGAAACAGTATAATTTAAAAGTGGGCGAAGCGCTAAAACCGAAACATGTGGTCGGAAAAATGAGATGCCTGGAAGGTTTAGCCGAATGGGAAGACTTGCAAATGCTGGTTAAAGATGTTTGGGGGCGCACTGACTATCTTGTTAATGATTACCCGGAAACAATTGCGGATCTAGGTGTGAAAGCATGTTGGGCCTTGGGAAACTGGGAGGAAATGAATACTTTCATTACTGCACTACCGACAAATGCTCCGAAACAGACATTTTACAAAGCAGCGTACGCATTGCACAAAAAAGATACAATAAACGCGATGAAATTGATTCAAGACTGTAGAGATTTAGTCGACAACGACTTGACGACATTGGTCAAAGAAAGTTATAGTCGAGCTTATGGTACGTTGGTGGAATTGAAACACTTCAGCGAAATGGAGGAGGTTATTTCATATACCTTCATGAGATCCAGACAGGATTCGATTAAGCAGATGTGGCGAGATAGACTTTTAGGCGGTCAGCCGAATGTTCATGACTGGCAGAACTCTTTGTTGGTTCATTCGTTAGCCATTCGTCCAGAGGATAACGAAGTGACTTTGCTGAAATTTGCGGGTCTTTGCATGCGGCAAAATCGTATGAAGATCAGCTTCAAAGTACTGCAGTCCTTGCTTCCAGACATAAAGTTCCCAGATAACCAGAAGCTGCAAGAGATACGAGACCCAGATATATTGGATCATGAAATTGGTGATATGACAGAACGTCTTGCCGGTGCATGTTCTAACAAGATATCAGTTGTTTACATGTTTCTTAAGCAGCTTTGGGAGGTACACAGGAGAAATGATTTGGTGAAACGCAGATTGATCCAGTCTCTGGGTATGATTACGAACAAAGTTATGGGTTTGTATTCGGGCATGTATGTTCCTGAAATGATGATGGCGGCTCGACGATATGACAATGGTCGAGGCAAGCAAGTTGCCCGTTTTTGCTTACTTTACGCGTCATGGCAAAAATCGTTTGGAATTAACGTCAGGTCGATTAGTGATATAATTGCGAACTGCCAGTATGCTACTGAAAACTGCAAGAATTGGTACAAAGCATGGAGAATGTTAGCAGAGAGCAGTGCAGAGGCATTCCAGTTGATGAGGGCTAGTGGATCTAGTAATGGAGGATCATCAGGCAGCGCGAACACTCTACACATACCATCACAGCAAACATCTCTGCCAGTAGGACCTTCGCCTCAGATGTACGCCAGGAGTTCAAGCGCCAGGTCTCTGGGGTCAACGAATGGATCCCAGTCAATGTTGCAGACTTCTCATAGCAATCCAGTTACATTGCACTTTTTAGTGGCTGTTAATGCGTTTGTGAAGTCTATTCGATGTTGCTGGGATAAGAAGAAAGACACACTTCAAGATACTCTACGACTTCTGACACTACTGTTTGAGAATGCAGGAATTCTCGAATCACCAGAATTCGTTTTGGATACTTTGAAACAAGTACATGTTGATGTATGGCTTCAAGTGATTCCTCAGTTGATAGCTCGAGTAGCAAGTGCGCGCTCTGTTATCGGAAAAATCATTATACCACTTCTGGTGGATATCGGAAAAGCACACCCGCATGCGGCAGTGTATTCCCTAATGGTAGGTGCGAAGTCTACTAGTCCCGCGAGAGCACAGGCCGTGCAGACAGTTCTGGATGCAATGAAAGACAGATATCCTGAGATAGTGAAGCAGGCCCAGATTCTGAGTCACGAACTAATCCGGGTCTCAATTCTCTGGCATGAGCTGTGGCACGAAGGGCTTGAGGTATGTAAACATTTCTTTCAGGTCAGACAGATTATGCTTTTAGAATGAAGCTTTTAAAAGTCTTGTAAAAAAGCGCAGTGATTGTCGTTTTTAGCTCATAATGATTGTTTTTTTTTGCAGTTTGACGGTTGCTTTTTTAGTTCAGTTCTTTTCCTTTTTTCAGCAAAACTGAAAAGGTCACAAAAAAAACGTGAATGTTTTCTCTAAATGGGTTAACTTAACGAAAAAAAAGCCAATCAAAGCAGTATTGCCATTCGAAACTTGGAAATTTTTCCAAAATTTTTAATCAATTTATTTTCCAGTTTCCTTGTTCTTGTAACGATAACCGTTTTGAAGATTAGATATGAGTTTTTAAAGCTCTATCTTCTAACATATAAGAAAATACTCTTTTTCTTTCAAAAAATGACTTCATTGCTGATAATCTTAAGATTTTAGCGTTTTAAATCATCAATTTCAGTTGGTTTGGCTATTTTTTCTTTTATTCTTTTGGTTTTCTCTCGTTCTATTTAGTTTTCTGAAATCAATTCTGGGCAGTGTAAATTTTGTTTGGGTTTTTGGTTTTATATCTACGAAAAGTTTCTGCTAGTGAAGAAAAAGGAAATAGATATTTCTTCAACTGCATGGCTTTGTTTTTATTTTTTGTCGTTTCGCCTGGACTTATTTTCTAGTTCCAATATTATTTGTTGTTACTAGGTGTTAGGTTTTGGCACATTGTTTTTTTTAAATTATCACTATTTTTTCAAAAAAAATCCAAAAAGTTTATCTAATTTTTTGTTTTGAAAATCTATTTTTGTACTATCGTCTATCGGCTTATTATTTTCGGCTGAGTTTTTTTCAGCAGGCGTTTCTCCTGATAGTTCAGCTTCTTTTTTTGAACTTAATAGTTTCGGCTGGTTATATTGATTTAGGTGACGTTGACGTATATTACGTCATTTGAAAACCAAAGGTAAGTTTAATTTCGTTTGTATACTTGGGAGACGACTTTAAACTGCGAATTTTGTGTCTTTAAAGTTTATACGTTTTAAATTTTTGACGACTTAAAACTTCGAACTTCAAAAATGATTTTATCTCAAAACGTTAGTTATTTTTTCTCGGCTGACCGATAGATGAATTTTGACTAATTGCTTTATTAATGATATCAATCTAACTTTGCAACAGGTTTTTATCAAATGGAGATTTATAAAATTTTTGGGTGGTGGTTCATTGAGATTTTCATTTTTTTTTTACCGGTGGCTCTCAGCTACCTCTGCCATTCTCTATTAAATTGTATCGCAATTGGTGCGAAGCTCTGCTTCGCCTCTGTGTACACTTTTCCAACTGGATGTTGACTATGCTTTGGTTTGGCCGGCATAGTAGATTTTTGACTTAAACCACGAGTTCAAGTATGGCATAACTATTTGTAAGATTTTTAGATGAGAAGATATATCATCAGCATCTCTTTCAGCTATTGCCAGCTTTTTTGACAATTTTTTCGAAGTGTTTTATTGATTCAACAAATTTGGTTAAATATCTTTGAAAAACTGGACAATTAACTGATCGCACTTCTACTTAGGAAAACTGATTTTTGTTTTATTTTTCAGGAGGCCAGCCGCATGTACTTTGCTGACCGGAATCCGCGAGGCATGTTTGCTATCCTGGAGCCACTGCATGATTTAATCGAGAAGGGAGCCGAGACCATGAAAGAGCAGAGTTTTATGCAGCACTTCGGGAGAGATCTGACTGAGGCAAAGGAGTGTTGTAACAGATACCAGCAGCAGGGGAACGCCAGAGAACTCAGCCAAGCCTGGGATCTCTACTACCAGGTTGATAAGTTTTCTATAAGAAATGTTTGGAAAATATCGATTTCTTGCTTAATCATCTTATTGGTGTTTTTCCATGTAATAAATTCTACCGGAGTTCATTTCGTTAGACATTTGGTGTTCTTGCCTAAAGTTAGCACCTTGTACTTCTTATGTCTCAAACATTGTTCCAATCCCGTCGTTATTTCTCTGATTTAGCCTAATTTTTTACTACAGATTTCAGGGATTCGTACAATAGATTAGATCTCAGTTCAAACATTTTCGGTTTAGCAATTAGATAAATATATTTTTTTAGGTTTTCCGCCTTATCACAAAACAAAATCTGTCCATGACGTCGCTAGAACTGAACTACGTCTCGCCTCGCCTGTTGAATGCCTGTAGAGACCTGGACTTGGCTGTTCCAGGCACATACGAACCCAATCAGCCTATCATACGAATTTCCTCGGTAAATCCAGTGGTCATGGTAATCGGATCTAAGCAGAAACCGCGCAAGCTGTGCATCAGTGGGAGCAACGGAAAAGACTACCAGTTCCTTCTGAAAGGTGAATCTATTTTTCTAGGTTTAGTGCGATACGAAGATCTGGTCATCTATCTGTATCTATCTATATCTATCTATCTATACTATTTTTAAATACGTGTGACAGCTATCTCCCATGCTTAAGCATAATAATTTTGCATGTTTAACGAAAGAATTTTTTTCACGTTTAAGCTATATATAGTGCAATGGTTAAGATTTTTTTTTTCGATTTTCCAGTTTAAATTCAGTGTTCATTTCATCAAGTTTGAAATAAGCAACCCAATAGTGGGATGGTGTCAGGGTTTTCCCAGGTTTTGTGATTCTGGCCTTCATATATGAATAACCAAATCCTTTTAGTTGACGAGATACGACAATATTCGAGATTTTTCTAAAATTTCAAGAAAATATAATTTTTAAAAATTTCTCATTTTTTGTAATTCTCACATTCTAGTTGGGTGCTGTCCGGTTACTATCAGGGGTTGCAAATCTTGATTCCAAATCTCACTTCTCAAATCCTTGTAGTTTTCGAGATCAATGAAACATTATAAAAAATTTTTGAAATTTTGAAAATCTCAATCCTGTTGTGAGGGTACTCTGAGGGATTGGAAATCTTGTCTCTGAATATGACAGCTCGAATCCTAGTAGTTTTCGAGATATGACGGTTTTTAGGATTTCTTCAAAATTTTTCAGAGAACTTGAGATAAAAAAAATTTTCACAAATTTGAAGTTTCGATCTCTATAGTGAGGCTCTGTCAGGGTATTCTCAGGATTTTCGAATTTTGCCTCCAAATATGAGTGCTCAAAACCTTGTTGTTTTCCAGATATGACGTCTTTTGTGATTTTTTCAAAAAAAATTTCAGAAAACTCAAATTTGTTTTCTTAAAAAATCGAAATCGCAAATTCTGTAGTGGGAGCTGTCAGAGTATTCTCAGGAACGAAGGGGTTGCGGATCTTGCCCGCAAAATCAGGGCTCAAACCTTGTTAGTTTTCGAGATAAGTCGCTTTTGTTATTTAAAAAAAATTCAGAAAATTCAATTTACACAAATTTTGAAATTCGTAACCCTGTAGTTGGGATCTGAGTGCTCTCAGATATTGCAAATCTTTTCTCCTAATAGCAATGCTCATTTTTTTGTTTTTTATGACGTTTTTTTTATGGTTTTAAAACAATTTTTTTGGAAAACTTATTTTTCAAGTTTCTCTGTTTGAAATTCCCAACGCTTTAGTTGGGTACTACGAGAGTACTCTCAGGAGCTGCAAATCTTGCGTCCAAATGCGACTGCTCAATTTTTTTTTAGACTCCGAGATGTGACGTTTCTCAGTTTATTTTAAATTTAATCGATGTACTTAAAGAAAACTTTACCAAGTTTAGTTTTTCAAATTTTGTATTAAAAATATGAGCAAAAAGCTTTGCAAAATTTATAATTACGGACCCTGTAATTGGGTGCTCTCAGAGTACACTCAAAGGATGCATATCTTTTTTACAATATATGCGGTTTTTTATGAGATGTTAAAAATTCGAAACACAGGCGTTGCGTTACACGCTAGTTTTCAAGGAAATGTTATTAATATTAGTATGCTTTCCACTTTATTACATCCAAAATTGTGTCTTTTTGTATTCTGAGCTACTTTTGCTGCATCGAATTGGCAATTTATTAGCATATGTAGCTGCGTTATTGGTGGCTAGTTTTGGGCCATTTGAATTTTTCGTGGCTGAGTGGCTAGTGCATGAGGCTCAAATTTGTTAGGTCGCAGATTTGAATCTGACACGTAGTCGAGTTTTTGCTAATTCGAGGTTTATTTCTACTTTTTCTTATTTCACTTGTTAGAGCTGCTTTTTGGAAGTGTTTTTGCAAGTGTTTGCGAAGAGCAGCTTCGCCTCTGTGTAATCTTTTTCGTAAACATCTGGATAATGGATAATGTCACTACTTAACAAACTGGAGAAACTAAGATTTAGTTTCGTGGCCATCCCTTATGGCGGGAAGGAAATATGATCTAGCAAGCTCCTCAAATAATGAGTGGAGGTGATCATAGTCTAATAAGAGCGAAGGGTATCCAAATTGGCTCTTTCAATTGTGATTGAAATGTTTCAAAAAACTTTCATCTATGGCGAGGAATATTAGCTTGATTTTTGAGTTTGCAGGTTTAGTTTAACGTTAGGAAGATGAATGCAATAAAGTGCACTGCCTTTTTAAACAGGATCTTATTGGGATGGTGTAGTTCAACTTAATACTATAATGAATTCTTCTTAGATTTTTATCAGCAAATCTTCTTAGATTGTGCTTATAAATAACTCATAAAGTATAATGCACTCTCTTCAACTCGGAAGTGCCACTACCCTCTCTTGTAGAAACATTTAGATCAAGCTCCCTAGCTCTTAAAGTGAGCTTAGATTATCTCGAAAATTATTGCCCTTGAACACCAACCGCAAAGTGGACTTGACTTGAATTGATACGGCCAAGTACTGAAGAGTGAAAAGCAGAATTAGCTCTCAAAGTGAGCTTAGATTCTTCTCGTAAAAACGTTAAGTAACGCAAGTCTCTCTTGACTCTAAAGATGATTTCAGGTTGTCCGATCGATATAAAAAACAAAAAGCACTCCTGACTCTAAAGGTGAGTCCAGATTATTAAATACTTAAACAATCCAATCAAAAAATCTAAACCTTATGGAAACATTTCCAGAAGTCTCTCGAGAGCTTTGGTAGCACCTCTGGTGCCGGATACAAACCATCGTCTGAGATGTGTTTGCGGAAGCTGGAGTTTCTCGGCCTGTGAAAATGCAGTGCATAACGTCGCGCAAGTCTTTTATATGCTTTGTTCAATCGCCGAATACGGTCGTTTTTCTTGCTCGACTGATCAAGCCCATATCCATGACTTTGTTTCATTGACCATTTCAAAGGACGACATATGGCTTCGTTAATGTTCATCGCGCCCATTATAAAAAGTCCCTTCACACGAAGCCTCACTATTTCCTTGACTATTGGATCCGAGCAGAGAGTTGAAATCTGGCCCACTGGACATCAACTTGTAATGAAGTCTTTCAAGAAGATGCCAAAAACCACCGAGGAACTTAATACGGAATCTGGCCATGGCCTGGTGGTATTTACCATTTTAGTGAATAAGCGGCATTTTGGTCTCTTGCATTTGTGATAACTTTCACATTTTGTCGTTTTTTCGATGATTTTCTGAAGACGAAACTTGCGCATGATAACAAAACTGAAAATAAGGATAACAATGAAGTAATTGCATAATAAATTCAACAATTACTACAACAAAACTAACCATTGAAAAAAAACGCTTGATAAATGTGATTTTAAAGCGCGTCGATTTGAGATCGAGTGGAAGATTTTTTCTTTTCGCTCCGAAATATACGAAACTTTGCAAGCCGTAGGTAGATTTAAATGATAGGACGCGATAGGGTTTATTACGGTTTGAGCCAGAGCTGAGCTCGAAAGCATCTACAAAGTAAGTCGGCTGTCTTTATGGACAGTAGACTGCGTTGTGCACAAATGTCAAGACCTTGAAATCAATTCACTCCTTAATCGAAAGCCAATGTAGTTCATGTAGATAAGTACGGATGCTTTTCTATTTTCGTCGTCCATAGATGAAACGACAGGCAACTTTCTATAATCGTTGTTGTTTCTACAACAGATAATCTGGTAAACCAGAATATTGACTTGCAATAATCCAGTCACGGAAGAATGAAGTTCCTGGCTAACATTTATGGTTCTCAAAACAAAGATAGTATCTAACACTACAAAGCTTAAGCTTCTGAATTTAGCAAGAGCTGCAAACAAAGTTAACTTGCTTGACCATTTTCAAAATAGCGTCCAATGGAACTCCAAGAGTACGGAAAGAAACTGGAGAAATTAACAGCTTCGCCATTCACTGTAAAGGATTCAGTGATTTTTTTTGCAGACGCTTCAAAAGTAAAACTTCAGTTTTTCCTGCATTTAAGATTCAGTGATTTTTTTTGCAGACGCTTCAAAAGTAAAACTTCAGTTTTTCCTGCATTTAATGACAGGAATCAATCACAAATCCCTTCTATGGTCTTGTTCAATTTGGGTGATAATATTCGTCGTGATCAAAGTGAGATAAATGAGATTGTGTTGGTCGTAGCTTCATTTGAAACTTACACTGAACATTTACACCGATTAGAAAGGTATGAAATGATCAAATGCAAAGCGTCGGATAAAGTTTCTCAAAACAAAGATAGTATCTAACACTACAAAGCTTAAGCTTCTGAATTTAGCAAGAGCTGCAAACAAAGTTAACTTGCTTGACCATTTTCAAAATAGCGTCCAATGGAACTCCAAGAGTACGGAAAGAAACTGGAGAAATTAACAGCTTCGCCATTCACTGTAAAGGATTCAGTGATTTTTTTTGCAGACGCTTCAAAAGTAAAACTTCAGTTTTTCCTGCATTTAAGATTCAGTGATTTTTTTTGCAGACGCTTCAAAAGTAAAACTTCAGTTTTTCCTGCATTTAATGACCGGAATCAATCACAAATCCCTTCTATGGTCTTGTTCAATTTGGGTGATAATATTCGTCGTGATCAAAGTGAGATAAATGAGATTGTGTTGGTCGTAGCTTCATTTGAAACTTACACTGAACATTTACACCGATTAGAAAGGTATGAAATGATCAAATGCAAAGCGTCGGATAAAGTTTCATAAATTTTTCAAAGATACATTTCATTATCTTATGATCAAGCGTTTCAAACGCCACAGAGAGGTCAATACCAAACGTCAAAACCAATTTAGCTATCAAGAGCAGTACGAACATACTTTTTGCCCTTAAAAAATCTGCACGGAGTCATCTTGCTCAATTTTGAACGTTTATTTTCTTTCAGTTAAAATGTTTGTTCGAGTGTTCTTCTCCATTCTTGTCCAGTGTTGGTCCTTTAACAACACAGAACGTTTTAAACATGTTTTAAACGGGTCTAGGACAACAAGCCGACGGGACTTCAAGCCGAAGGGACTTCAGGCCGAAAATTAAACTTTACAAGCACCTCAAATCATTATTTTTT